AAAAAAAAAAAAAAAACACCCTATCAGAGTTTAACCCCGTGACCTCAAATACATTTAGCAATTTAAAGGGAGATTAAGGAAGCAGATCTTCCAAATATAACTTTCCTTCCGGGAAATACAAGAGTAGCACAAACCTTGGGAACAGAGTAGTGTTCAGGCGACTAATTAGAGAATGAGAAGCAATCTGAACGTGCAATTTACTGTTTAAATAATGACAATTAAAAACTTCTGAGAGCAACCAAGTCATTACAGTTATGATCCCCAAAGTTTGCGCAATCAGCTAATCAGAGGGCTCCTGCTCGTTTCCTGTTAAACAATCAAAGCAGGAAATATGGAGACCACTCCGAAGAGCCACTAAATCAATTAACTGTTCACTTTTACCCAAGATTCCTTGTAGATGCTGACTTCTGCCACCCTTGTCAAGAAAAGAAGATTCTATTTAACTTGACACTCTATTCCAACATCTGGGACTTTATCACTGCAGCAGTGGGGGATTTTTAAAAGGGGATGCTTTCCTAACTCCATTTTAAGCAGTTGCAAAGTAATGCCATATTAGTGGCATTTCTTTCCAGGGAGAAAAAAAAAAAACAGACTAGCAATCACTAAGTGGGCAGCTATGCCGTTCCTGTGTTCCATAATGCATCTTTTCGTGAACAATAAAAGCAAAGAGGCTACATTAGTCATCTGAGCACCCACAGTGGCATGCTTTCTGTTCTGCTTTGTTAATGATGGGATCAGCTTTCAATAAATCTCCAACAACAAGCTGCATGTACTCAGCAGGGCGATGGAAAGACCCCTCTGACTCTACACAAAGCGCAGCCAGAAACACTCTGGTTATATCTCTAAAAACGTGATCTCTCATAGGAGAAAAGGAAAAAAGCCTCCTAATGGGGTAGGAAAGCGAGAATTTATAAGAGGTAAAGTGTAGCAAGAGTTGAGTGCATCATAAATAGATGTGCCCTGAAATCCTTAAGTAGGGATGTCAACCAACTCCATTCAGGAAAGATGAGCATGATCTCTCTACTCCCTCTATCATAAGGTAAAATCTGAAAAATGATAAAATACACCTACCATCAAATTTCTCTGGGACCACACAGGTATCATCATAAAACTGCCTAGGGCCCTTTTCAAACATACAACCTGTTGGGGGGAACAGAATACATTTAGTCATGATACAAACGAAGGTTAGAAACAATTATTTTCAAACATACTGGCTTCTAAAATAGGCCTATCATTTTAATAAAAAGTTACATTTCACGTGCAAAGTTTAGATTTATCAGCCCATCGTATTATCCATTAGACGTGGGGACTTTCTTCTATTAATATCATTTGTATAAAACAACAAATATTAGGCCTAAGTTATAAGGAGGCATCTAAGCCAGTTGTGCTAGAGACAGTATTTAGTTCCAAAAGCATGCATAGTATTTCCAGGGATTATATCCAGATAAATCTTTTTTTTTTTTTTATTTTTTACTTTGAAAGTACCAAAGTCCAACAAGTAAAGTTTTTCTGCCATGATTACCATAACACATCCATAATAAAAATCCCTTCTCTATCCTAGACCACTTATGTGCAATTCCATTCTGAGCAATCACTTCTCATAAACTGTCAAATCAAGGATATTTTAAAATGAATACATTCAGATCCAATGTTTTACTTCAATGACTTAAGTTCATTAAGCAATACTGAGAATTCCTCGAAGATATATTTCATTCAAGAGCTATACGCTAGGGTGATCTATACAGCATATGTTTTATTTTAGAAAGGATGTGGTTGTTGGCAAAAAATAAGAACACAAAATCCACTCTCTCAGCTATTTATGTGCGCATGAGTCATGTTAACAACTAAATACAAGACATCATGACCTGAAAAAGTCTCCCTATTACTTGAAAAAGATCAACTTTATAAAAATAGCGTGGAGAACCTAAGTGACTTTTTCCTATAGGACATAAAGATTAATTAAGTGATCGCATCCTGGGGTGTCTGATTTTTGGACTAGTTTTTATAATCCAGTTCAGTAATGGAAAACTTAACTTCTGTTCTGCTGGGGTGAGCCAGGAAGCCTTCTTGCCTCATATAAATGGAGTGGCAGCTAGGCACTTCTGAAAGAGGAAACAGAAGTTGGTCAGAGAGGAGTTGGGAGTTGAAAATGCAAGGTTATCAACGGACAGAGCACAGATAGGGGAATAGCAGAAACTGACTTTCGTGTCCTTGACAGGAGTTGTCAACACACAGTTAACATTTCAAGCAGTCCCACGTAAGAAATGAGAAAAACATATCACGCAGACACCAATATCTTTAATAAGCATGTAAATTCAATGTTTTACCCACATCTACCCTGCTTCGAATCGGCTCTGCCTGTAACTTATGTGAATGGGAACTAGGCCTCAAACAGTGGCAAACATTAAAATGTTTTGGGACGTTTGTGGAATAAATTTGTATAACCCATTGCATTGTATTTACAAACAAAAAATCAACAAAAGACTCATTCATAGCTTCATTCATGATAGATAGTAATTATTGTAAAAGACAAAAATCTGAATCTCCTAAAATTGCTCTGGCCTTTTAAATGATTGCTTTTTTCCCCCCAGACAAAAACAAGAGTGGCTTCTCATTTTATTAAGCATGCAGATCATATTCAAAACCAATGAGGCTCTACAATAGAAATACAGCAATTTTATGGCAAATACTGCCATTACTTTAAGAGTGAGGTCTTGCCTCTGTAACCAACTTATCACTGAAAAAATAAACTTGGTTTGTGGTTAAACTTGAGTCACAGTAATGGTGATCATATCTAATGTGTTTAGTTGTGTAGATATGGGGAAAAGAAAAGAAATATAGATTAGGAGATGAAAGATTAAAGTTCAAATCTTTTCCTTCACTACTACTTAAACAACAGGACTTAACAAGCCATTAATGTCTGTTTCTATAAAGTCAAGGGTTGGGTCAGATGGTATCTGAAATCTATTTTCTAGTTCTGAATACAAAGTTCACTCACATACCAGAGAAGGGTTCAGGGTGCAATTTAAACTTTCGGACCACTGACTTACAGATACCTTTGTGGCCCTTGTACCAACACCTGCAATTTCATTTCTTTTTCTTTACAGAAGATTCCACAAATTTTGTAAGTTTCAGGTTTTATCACCCTGAACCAAACCATGCATTTAACACAGATAGTTTCTATAGGAATCTATAAATATGTGATCACATCAATTCTCGAAGTATTGCATTTAAAATAATATATACAAAATATGAAAACTCTTCTATTTAATATGGCTCTCTTCCCACCAACTTAGTAAGCATAAGATCTCCAAACAAGTAATAAAATACATCTAAATGAATTGGAATGAAACACCTTTTCTCTTTTGAATTATCCGTTGGTCACACTTTCATGTTGTATTAATTAGCACATTTTATTTGGCTCATCTATCATTCTTTCTCGGCCTAGAATACTTCAGTTCTAAAGTCTATATGATTTTTAAAGTGTATCTGATGATGAATGTTAACCAAAATGTAAGACTTTTATTTTCCACTGAATTCATTTTAGTCAAAATATCTTAATTAAGACTATCCATAATAGCAACAGTACTTAAAGGTAGGATCAATAACTTACAAGTTGAGACAGTATAAAGCTTATTAACCAGCACTTATTATACCTTCTTTACATAAAGTATTACATACTACACAAGTCTAACTCCACATGAAAGTGGTGTTGACCTTATTCCTGATAACAGCATTTATGAGTGTTGCAATGTAGTCGCGATCCTTTGAGTTACCAGTTAGCAATTCATTTTAGCCCAATTTTTTAACCAGTGGTACTTCAAATTAATTTTTCATTTTATTTTGATTTATTGCCAGCCATAAGGTCCCCCAAAGCAGCTGGGCCTGGAAGCAACAGTGTTAATGACTCCACTATCAGCTCAGCAGCTGCTTGGAGGAAAGCATTTTGTTGTACCAGTGTTGACACCCTGCCACAAAATACTTTTACTGACTGCTGCCCAGCTGGAGTGTGGCTGTAAAAACAGCTGGCTGGCTCTGGAGGCAGTTAGAAGAAAACATATAGGCTAAACTCTATTATAAATAAGTGTGACTAAATGCAGTCTCCTCCAGAGACAGAAAGAGGCAGAGAGGAAATGCAAACACTTCTGATAAACCCACTATTTAAAGTTGAAGGAACAGTTTAGAAAAGTGCTCTAAATAATACAAAATCAGCATAGTCCTCAAAAAATCTTGACATTTGACACTAAAAACAGGATTCCATGGATCATTTCACTAACACTCACCTATTGAACTGGCTAATTTGTTGTTTATGGGTACGCTTACTCTATGTTCTTCACAAATTCTGTTAATCTAAAGAATACTGATTTTAACTTCATAATAAATTAATAATTTATCATAAGGCTAGTGCCAGAACTTCCATTACATTTCCAAAAACCCCAAATAAGTTCTTGGGGGGAAAAAAGCACAGTTTAGGAAAAAAAAAAAACTACACATACTTGTTTTCACTAGTTCCTAATGCACCGCACAGCTATTAAAATTAACATCTAGCTCTTGAAATTGACACACTTGGCTAGCAAAGTTTAAAATCAGTCTATCTTTAAAATCAGTGTTCTATTTATGGTCCTGAGAAGCCTGAAAAAAATGACTAAAAGGAGTTTATTCCCATAAAGTAACTAAAGTCATGTTATCCTAAAGTGATATCAGTTAATTTATGACTATCAGAGTGGGTCAGACTCTAATCAAATTGTAGAAACATTTCCAAAGTGATTATTCAATCAAATGACTAACATGGTTAATTAGGAGCCACAAACATTGCTCTGAAGTTCATCAAAGTAATGACTTGCCCAGAAAAATTACTGCTAATTAAATTGCCTGCTGCTTTCATTTCTACCTTATCTAATAAAAAATCCAACCAATGAAGTTTGACATTATATTTTAAATTTTGCTAAATGCTCAACTTAGACCCAAACAGGCTCAACAGCACTTCAAAGGCAACCGTTTTGGGGAAGGAATGGAAGTATTGTTTATGTCCTCACTTAGTTTTTACCCAGCAAAAACTTGGAAAACTTAGCAACAATTTGAAATTGTAGTTTAAGCTATGCACGCATGTTCGATAACAGCATATTTATCCTGCCTGTTAGGAGTTCACAGATTAAATCTTAGGTTCCTTCAATGTCATAAAAGAGACCTGGTTTTGAACTTCAGTTTTGACTTATGTAGCAGTGTGACATTTTATCACTTTTTTTAAGCTACCTTTAACTCTTAACCTTTACATCTTAAAATGGGAAATCACAGAGTGATATACTTGAGAGAGATATACTTGTTGGGGAGAAACATATGGAGTAAGGTATGAACATTTTGTGTGGTGTGTACAGAGAAAATCCAATATAAAGTACTTATCACCAATAACAGAGTCTACTTTACATGAAACTCAGTACTTCAGACTGGAAATAATTGTGTTTGTAAATAAGTTATTTTTCATCTTAATTTTTTGTCCTAAAATATCACTTATCTATTGAAATGTTTACTGGTGTAATTATTCTGCAACATTGTTCTTAAATCTATCATTAACCTATGATTTAAGAATATATATTGATTCATTGCAAATTTATGACATAGTTTTACAAGCAAGAATGTTCTTTACATTTTTTTTCAAAATATCTGGAGGTACACTTGAAGCTTTTTTTTAAGTTTTTTAGTATTACCTCCTGACAGTTTGTCCTAAATGATTTTGATTTAAGAAAGTGTTAAATTCAATCTGTAAATTAAATTATATAAATTTAACTTAAGACAAAGGATTTTTTATTATCTTGAAATGTATGGAACTAAGAGTTGTACAAGATGACATTAGAACTGGACCAAATCAGCTTAAAGAAATAGACTGTCTAGAATTTATCAAAAATAAGTTTATGATCATGCAAATAGATTTAACATAGTGCAGACATTCAAAGCAGCATTTAGTCATTTTTTATGCATTATCAACAAGGAAAGTTAAGAAAAACAACAGTGAGTTTGATCCCAGGCTGGGAGGTGATCCACTGAGTGCAGGAGACCACTCCTGTCTCTCCCACTGCTCCCCTCAGCAGTGTACTTTTGTCAGTCAGCCTGTTCTGCTCCCCATTCTGTCTCTGATGAATCCTATCACCATACCTGCACCTCTGGCTTGTAACCCCAGTTCTGTATGCATAAATAAATAAATCTTAAAAAAAAAAAAAAAAACCTCAAATGTTTTTTAGCTTGTATGAGTAACATCAGCTTCATGAAAATGTGTTTCAATGCATTTGCAGCTATATCCATTTATCCATTTTAGTTTGGCATCTTTTTCCTCTGCTCCCCCACTTGCCACATGATTAGACTTCAAGTAGCTAATAGAAAATTGCATTGATAATGTTCTCTTAAATGATGTAAAGGGGAGGACAGTTTTTATACCCATATGCTATCTCTATAATAGAACAAATTAAAAAATAGGGGCCCCTATTATTATGTCTACACTTACTTGAATAAGAAGCAAGTGTGACAACAAAAAGTTCAAGTTTAAAAGCCCTATTTGTTGTTAGTCGCAAAAGTTGTATGTGAATGTAACAGTCACTGAACTTTGCATGAAGAAGGCAGAAAAGCTGGAGTTGGTTTAAATCTTAAGAATGATGAATGTTTATTACTTTGTTCACATAAAGATCGGCCTCTTATCACTAGTGATTTTAGTAGACTGAACATAAAGAGTATCAAACCTGCAGAGATACGTGTTCTAGTGATTTTTCTGTTACTAGGCTTCCAGGATAGAAAGAGAATTAATTAGTCTTTAGATGGTTAGCATAGAGCTTGAAAAATCTTAAAAAAAAAAAAAGGCACACACTTATCTGCATTCACTATTTTTTAAAAAAACTTAAAGGTTAAATAATGGTCTGGAATTTTACTTACAAAATCACTAATGTCTCTTGTAAGCAGCTGGGTTATTTTGGGACTGTATTTTACATAAATAATGGCCAGGTTCAAACCTAATTAGTTTTTATGAACTACTGTGCTCACAATTTTACAAGCCTGTAATGATTTTATTAAGTTAGATTTACAAATAAAATTGGTATCAGAAAACATAAATACAATT